TACCCAATGCAATGTGTTTCAATATTTTTCAGCAGTACCCTAATTAAAATGTACCAATTCTATCTTCTTACAGCCTACATACAGCCTCTCTTCCCATCAATACTTGATCTATTGATGATGATATTTCTGCATATTAATATTGCTACCTCACATCATGGATTAATAGCACTCTATTTACTAATGATGGTTAAGTTTCAAGTAATAATGAAAGAAGTAATTAGTGCCTTTAAAACTAATCATACTTGAGAGCCAAATTAGAAGATTCTTCCTTATGATTTCCTTTTTCTATAACCACTCTCATTCCCAAATGTCTTACACTAGGTTTTCATAAGGAAAAGATCCAGTGAAGCTCAGATATGTGTATAAGTCATGTTAGGTGTCATGGAGTCAAACAAGACTCTTAATTACCTTCTATACAGCAGAAGAAAATACTGTCTTGTCCTGCATTATAATTAAAACCAAACAACTGCCATTTAGTCAATTCTGACTCACAGCAACCCGATAGGGCAGAGTAGAACTGCCCCTGTGGGTTTCAGAGGCTGTAAATCTTTGTAGGATTACAAAGTTGTACCTTTCTCTCACCAAGGAGCTATTGGTTTTTTTCAGTTAGCAGCTCAATTAGTAACCCACTATATTACTTCACAATTTTTGCTGTGCTTGAGCCCATTGACACAACAACTGTGTCCATCCATCTCATCGACGGTCTTCTTTTTTAATGATCCTCTACCTTAGCAAGTATTATAACCTTCTCCAGACACCGATTTCTCCTAATAATATGTTCAAAGTATGTGATACAGTCTAGCCATCTTTGCTTCTAAGGAGCATTCTGGCTATATTCGAAGACAGAATTCCTTGTTTTGACAGTCTATTGTAAATTTAATTTTCTTGGCAGTAATTCATATAAATCAATTCTTTTTTGGTCATTCTTACTCACTATTGACATGTATGTTAGACAATTGAAAATAACATGGTTTGTGTCAGGCACCATTTGTCCTCACAGTGACTAATTTTTCTCTTTAATACTTTAAAGAGGTCTTATGCAGCAGATCTACATAATGCAATGCATTATTTAATTTCTTGAATGCTGCTTCCATAAGTATTGCTTGTGGATCAAAGTAAAATGAAACTCTTGACAACTTCAATCTTTTCTCTAATTTTTATGGTGGATATTAGTCCAGTCGTACAGATTTGGATTTTCTTTAGGAGTTTCAATTCACACTGAAGGCTGCAATGATTGATCTTCATCAGCAATTGCTTCAATCCTCCCTGATTTCAGCAAACAAGATTGTGTTATCTGCACAACTTAAGTTGCTAATAGGAATTCCTTTAATTCTGGTGCTGAGTTCTTCATTTAATTAATTTCAGATTGAATAAATATCATTCTTGCTTGTAAACCATGCAGAACCCTTGTTTGGTTCAAACCCCCGCCTCTTGGTTCATGAATAGGTTCCACGTGGGCACAATGAAATGGTCTAGAGTCCCCCACCCCCCTTTTTTTTTTTTTGCAATGCATAGAGGTTACACATTGGGCTGCAATCCGCCAAGTCAGCCAAGTCTGCAGGAGAAAAACAGGATTTTCTACTCCTGTAAACAGTTACAGTCTCAGAAACTCAAAGGGGTAGTTCTACCCTCTCCTTTAGGGTCACTATACATCAGCATTGACTCGATGGCCGTGAGTTGACAGTGCACAGTGTTATGCTAAGTATGTATTATGTTCCACAAATTCAATACCTTTTCACAGTCAACATAACACAAATATTTTCAGATATTCTCTGCTAATTATCTGTTGGCTTGTCGAACTGTGGTGCCTTGCATATCACAGTGATAGTGGAACTATGCTACCTGTATTTCAAATACTAACAAAGTCCCCTATGGTAAACAAATTTCAAGAGAGCTTCCAGAGTAAGAACATACAAAAGGAAGGGCTGGGCAATCCACTTCTAAAGGATTAGCCACTGAAACCTTATGGATATCAGTGGAATATATGTGAATGTAGAGTGGGGTTTATATGAAGAAAATAACTCCTTCAGTTGTAGAGGTGGAAAGTTCCAGGTTCTTGGGGCAGATGTCAGGCTAAGCTTCTCTCATTCAAATAGCTGTAGAGGCTGAAGGATCCAAGATTGATAGGTCAGATGAAAGGTTTCTGGCTGCAGGTATGAATGCATACAAGGTTGCCTGGTGATATGGATGCTCAGCTTTCCTGTGCTTCACACATGTCTCTAATCAATCAGCATGCTCACTGATAGATGCTCCTCTGAGATGCATCAGGATGTGGTGGACTGTGAGAATGCAGATTTGCTACATCATAATGCTCTGGTTTTTCATCGGGACCTGGCCATAGAGAGTGGTCTCAGGTATGATGATTTATTCCTGGCTCACTGGTGGTTACCATTTAATAAACATACACTATTACCAGTGGCTTTTATGTAGTAACTGCTTACAGCTTCCCAGTAATACTGAGGCCATTATTCTAGTTTTATATATGAGGTCATTTTCATTATTTTATATATGACATCATTATTCTAATTTTATGTATGAGGAAATTGAGGAACAGAGAGGTAAAACAGCATATCTGCCCTACCCTACCCAGGCAGTAAGTTATGGAGCCCTTTTAACCCAGAGCCTTTTCAATGTAGCCCTACTTATCGTATGGTACATCCATTGTGGGACTACAGCTCTCATTGGACAGGGACAACACCCAAGAAGCAGCTTTCTGAGAGTGAAGGAGTGCAGGACTGAGGAGGAGCACCTAGCTAGGATAAGTTACACTGAGGCTTACACTGTAGAACCAAGGGATATTGGTCATTTCTTCCAAGAATGAGAGGGCAAAATTCCTGGACATGTTGTCTAAAGGGGCTCAGGGATGCAAGAAATCCTATGTATCCTATGTGAGGAGTTGGCCAGTTACTGAAAGACATTTTATTCTGACCTATGGCTACATGGCCTGAGGTGTAGGAAACAAGTACTCAAGAGTAGCTTCTTATCACACGAATGTTTATATTTTAGTATGGACTGAGCTCATTGTAAGACAGACTTGGCCTCAAGTTGACTTGATAGGGGTTTGAGGGTTTACAGTGGCTGATTTAAAATATATATATATCACTGGAAAATAGATCAAAATAGATTCTAGACCCTTTACTTAATCTTTGTATGCATTGAGAACAGGTACATGGAAAGAGACATGACCGTCAATCTTTCCTACAACACTGGTGAGAGCTCATAAGGTTCTGAATGAAGTGGTCTGCTACTTTTTTCTTTAATGCTATACTGTGAAAAGGATGCTTGTTGAATATTAATGCCTGCTAAAACGAATGGTGGTGACCCCTCTTCTTATAATCCTCTGAAATTGGCATATAATGGCCAGTGGGTGAAAGTTCATGTCCATTCCATGACACAGTTTCAGAGAAGCAGTGAAGTTTGCTCAGTCAAAGAGTATAAAAGTAATGTGCTCTTTTTCTCTCATTGTCCCCTAGGTAGAAGTGACAATTGAAGAGATTCTCCTGGATAAGCCTGGCGCATGGAAAGAAGAAAGAAGGCCATTTCCTAATTGGCCCCTTACACATCAGGTCAAATACTTTTCTTAATTTCTAGTCAAACCAAAAGAAAATGACCCCCTGTTAGGAGGCAAGAGGGAGCCCTGCTACACAGTGGTTATGTATGTGGCTACTATCAAAACGAGTTGGTATTTACAAGTCCTAAGCTCCTACATGAGAAAGAGAAATTGCAGCTTGCTCCCATAAACATTGTTGTTAGGTGCCATTGAGTGAGCTCCAACTCATAGCGACCCTCGGTACAACAGAGCCAAACATTACCGAGTATTTGTTCTATCGGGTCACTGTTAATTGGAATTAATTTAAAGAATGGATTTTTGCCTTAGGAACCAAGTGAAAAATAATGTAAGGAATTTTTTTTTAGTGTCCTGATATTTCAAAACCCCCTTAACACACTTCATACCGAGTACTCTTGGCATATTAAAATAAACCAAAACCACCCAGCTTCTGTGGAGTCCATTCCAACTCCCTGTGTGTCAGAGTACCGTGCTCCATACGGTTTTCCATGTAGATTTTTCAGGAGTAGATCACCAGGCCTTTCCCACTAGCCACCACTGGGTAGACTCAAACTTCTTAATATTCTGGTTAACAGCAAAGAGTACTTTTTATTCTAACAATTTTTTTATTGTAAATCAGGTGGGGGGGTTACATTTCAGATCATCAACTTGGTATTCAACAGTTTATAAACAACTTTACCCTCTTGTGGACCATGATCTTTCACTTCACCCAAGTTAATACCCTTCAACTGTCTAATCCATATGTTCCCACCCTTACTTGGCCTATCACATTCTTTTAAAAAATTACGCAGTGCCCTCCTGGCAATTAAAATTTTTTGTATTATAGTCCATAATTACGGTTAAAGTGTAGATGTCTGCTTTTACAGCCCACCCCCTCACCCCCACCAAATTATTCCAGCAGCTAAGGGAGTGGTAGCACACACATTTTAGGAGTCATTGTTCTAGTCTGCTGCTTTATCATCACTCTCTTACCATCCCCCTTTTGGCAAACTCCAAAGCTTGTTCCTTTTGGTGTGAAAGTCTATTTTGTTTGCAATTATTTTTTACTTGATAACATTAGTCCCACATAGTAATTTTTTGTGATTGGCTCATTTCACACAACATAAGGTTCTCCAGGTCTATCCATGTCATGAGTGATTTTGTGGTTTTATAATTATGTTTTAATAATGAATAGCATTCCATTGTGTGTATGTACCAAAGTTTCTTTATCCATTCTCCCACTGATGGGAATTTCTTTTTATTATAGTGAACAGTGCTGCTATTAACATGGTCATGCATATATCTGTTCATGTTATATATTTTATTTCTTTAGCATATATACCCAGCAGAAGGATTGCTGGACTGTATGGTAGGACTATATTGCTTTCCACTAAAGTTGTACACTATAATTGTACAGTTCCACCAGCAGTATATGCAGGTCCCAAGCTCTCGGGAGCCTCTCCAGCACTTGTAATTTTCTCTGTGTGTGTGTGTGTGTTTAAATTTGGCTGTCACTGCCAGTGTAAGGGGATATCTCATCATCATTGTTATGATTTGCACCTCCTAGATGGCTAGTAATTGTGAACATTTCTTCATATGCTTATTGCTCATTTTGATGCCTTCTTTGGTGAACTGCCTGTCCATGTCCTTTGCCCCTTTGTGATTAGATTGTCTCTTTCCTATTTAAGTGTTGCCGTTTTCTATAGATTAGACCCATGTTTGTCATGTCATTGTCAAAGACTTTTCCTCAGGATTTAGGTTCTCTCTTTACTCTTTGATGCACATCAGTGTCTTGTTTTTAGTAGGTCTAAGTTATCTATTTGTCATCCACTTTGTGGAGGTTTTCATTATATTTGAAAATGTACCTATATCTTGCAGAAGCGCTCTTGAATTTGCCCTTATTTTCTCATTGATAATTATTTTAGCTATGAGATTTGCCTTTAGGATTTTGATCCATCTTGAGTTTGTTTTTGTAAATAGGATTAAGTAGGGGTCTTGTTTCAGCCTTTGACAGATGGAAATCCAATTATGCCAGATCTATTTGCTGAAAAGACTGTCTCTTTCCCATAAAATCTTTTTGGCCCTTTGTTGAAGATCAATTATCTTTTATTTATTATGGTTTATTTATTTCTAGGTTCTTTATTCTGTTCCATTGGTCTATGTATCAATGATTGTACCAGAACCAAGATATTTTAATTACAGTGGCTTTGTAATGGGCTTCAAAATCAGGTAGTGAGAGGCCTCTTACTCTGTTCTTCTTTAGAAGTTCTTTGCTTATCCTTAGTCTCTTCCCTTACTATATGCAATTAGTTATCCAATTTCTTTAAGAATAAAGTTGATATCTGGGTCAGAATTACTTTATATTTATAGATTTTTTTTCTGTAGTATTGGCATTTTCACAATAGTAAGCCTTCTTATCCATGAACATGGAACATGTTTCCATTTATGTGAGTCTTTTTGTTTCTTGTAATAGTATTTTGTAGTTTTCTTTGTATAAGTTTTGTTTCTCAGGTTACTTTTATACCTAAGTATTTCATTTTTGTGTGGCTATAGTAAATGGTATTGATTTCTTGACTCCATTTTCAGAGCTCTTTTCATTAGTATATAGAAATCCAGCCTAATTGATTTTTGTATTGATCTTGTACCTTGCCACCATACTGAATTGTTTCATTGTTTGCAATTATCTGTTGCTGTTGTTGAGTCTGTGAGATTTTCTACATATAAAAGCATCTCATCTGCAAATTGAAAGAGCCTCACTTCTACTTTGCTCATCTGGAACCCTTTGAGTTCTTTTTGTTGTTGAATAGCTCTGACTCAGGCTTCCGGCAAAGTTTGTGTAAGAGTGGTTGTAAGAGCTTCCACAAGAGGAATGCTTTCAGTTTCTCTCCATCGAGGGAGAAAGTTAGTTTTGCATACATGGTCTTTATTTTATTGAGAATTTTCCTTTCTATTCCTGTTGTGATGGTGTACTGTAACTTATTACACCATCAGGGCTCCTTGCAGTCTTTTGTAGTAATGTATTTTAAAAAATTGTTATTATTTCATTTGGATCTGTTGTGCTTATTACCCCTTTCATTTATAAATTTTATAGATATCTGAAAATTTTTTCTTTTCCTTTATTAAATTTCCCAGTGGTCTGTCATTCTGTTCCTTCTTTCAAAGAACCAAACTTGTCTTTTTAATTTTTTTCTATTGTTTTTATATTTTCCACTTCATTTATTTTTGTTCCGGTCTTTATGATTTCTTTTTTCCTGGTGACTGAAAGTTTATTTTGGTTATGGTAACAATTTCGGTTCTCTCTTCTTTATTCAAGAATGCATATTTTGCTATAAATTATCCTCTGAGAACTGTTTTGATATGTTGTGCTTTTGTTCTCATTTGTTCCAAGGAAATTTTTTCACCATTTGCACAAGAGTTTTTAAGCATTGTGTTGTTCAGTTTTCATGCATTTGACTTTTTGCCCTTGCTTTTCTTATTATTGATTTATCATTTTTTAAAAAGATCATCTTATTGGGGGCTCTTACAGCTCTTCTAACAATCCATACATCAATTGTATCAAGCATATTCGTACATAGGCTGCCATCATCATTTCCTAAACACTTACTTTCTATTTGAGACCTTGGTATGAGCTCCTCTTTTTCTCCCATCCTTCCCTCACCCCTCCCATCCTCATGACCCTTTGATAAGTTATAAATTATTATTATTTTCATATATTACACCGACCACTGTCTCCCTTCACCCAGTTTCTATTGTTTGTGCCCCTGGTGGGTGGGTGGGCTATTACGCATTGATCATTATGATCAGTTTCCCTTTCCTCCCCTCCTCCCCTCACCTGGTATTGCTAATCCCATTTCTGTTCCTGAGGGGTTTATCTGACCTGGATTCCGTGTATCGTGAGCTCTTATCTGTACCAGTGTACATGCTCAGCTCGCCCATACTAAAAGGCAGGAGTGGGGTCATGATAGCCTCAAGAACCAGCGGAAGATTGTGTGTTTCATCAATGCTATACTGCACCCTAGTTGACTCATACCTTCCTTGTGACCCTTCGGAGGGGATGTCCTACTGTTTGCAAGTGGACATCTTCTCCAACCCACCTTATTCTCAACAGTATGTTATTTCTTGTTTTGGGTCTTCTGATAACTGTTACCCAATCCTGTCGACACCTCATGCTCTCATAGGCTGGTGTGCTTCTTCCATGTGGGCTTGTTGTTTCTCTGCTAGATGGCCGCTTGTTTCACTTCAAACCTCTAAGCTATGGATAGAAGTGTACACATATGTGAGTATATATGTAAATATATTAATTAATATAAATAGAGGTATTGGCCTATGTACATATATTTATATGGAAATACATTGAGGAAGTGGATAGACTTTGGGCCTCTGTTCAAACCCTCCCTCAATGTAAGAACATTTGTGCTAACAACCTGGCATTCTGGGATGCTCACCCTCCTGGCACTGGCACTGCAGACACAATGGGTGCATAAACAAATGTGATGAAAAATGCTGATGGTGCCCAGCTATCAAAAGATATAGTGTTTGGAGTCTTAAAGGCTTGAAGTGAAACAAGTGGCCATCTTAAAGATTTATAATTTTATAGCATTGTGACTTGAGAATTAGATTTTAAAATATCAATGTTATATAATTCATTAAGGCATTCTATGTTTCCTAACATATGGTCTGTTTTAGAAAATGTTCCATATACACTGGAAAAATGTACACTGTACTTTTGTTGGATGGTTTATTATGTCCATGTAAAGTGTATCAAGTTGTCTTTATTGCGATTCTTTACTGATGGTCTTTCTTTTTTGAGAGTGGTATACTGAAGTTCCCTCCTATTATTATCGCCTTGTCTATTTATCTTTTCAACTGTATAAGAGTCTGATTAACCTATTTCACAGGTCTTTTATAGGGTGTGTATATGTTTAATATTGTTATGTGTTCTAGTTAATCATTATTAAACCCTTCTTTTTCTCTCTGAAATTGATTGTGGTAGTTACATAATTCTTTGTCAACTTAGAT